TAGATCAGCCTTTCCCAAAGTGGGTGATAATCAGCCTTTCCCAAAGTGGGTGATAACGCCCCCTTGTGGGCACTGCAGGACCAAAGGGGGGCGGTAAGAGAAAAAAATAAGGACGTTGTGTAGAGACTTGTGAGGCGATTTGTTATTTGATCTAGGAGGACTCTTAGACACCGACTGAGCTCTCGCTAAAGTGGTTTTTAAGTAGGTGAAAAAATGGGGGCGCTAAAAATTTATTTATTTTCAAAGTGGACAGTAGACAAAATAAGTTTGGGAACCCCTGGGTTAGATGAATAGCATTCTCGTTGTACACAGAAACAGTGCCCACCCGCGACAACTACGGTTAATAGATAGAGCCGTTCAAATTGACTGGTTTAGTTTCGTCAATAGCTCCCATTAGTTTTAGAAACTAGTGTAAATTCGCGAATAGCTTGCGCGTGGGGGTCTCGTATCGGAAAGCGGGATTAACGTTCGTCGCTTCATTCGCTCAGTGTTTCTGGGTCGTCGATCTCATTTGACCTGTCTCGTTCGTCCGAGAGTGTGTGTGCTCCCTTTTCAGTTCTTTACAAGAATCTCGCCGATGTTTAACGTGCTTCGGAATGACGTATTAGTTTGAAGAGACTTCTTTTGGAATTTCGGTCTTCGAAAGGAAAATGAGGAACACTTATAGGATGACTTTGTTTTCCGTTTAGAGACGTACCAAAAATGACTGGAAGAAACGAATGACAACTAAATTAACAAAATAAAGCTACAATAAACGTCCAAAATGAAAGGCCATTATTATAATATTATGAACGTGTTGATCTATTGATTAGGAACTGCCCTCAGTGAAGGACACATCTTACAGCACATCTGTTTACAACTGATGCTGATCGCAGATTATTTACATATTTAGAGTCATCGTGGCCTAAAGGATAAGACGCCCGGTGCACTCACATCAAGATATGTAACGGTGTTCGAATACCTAGTTCAAATATTTTTTTACTGGTGGTAGGACCTCTTGTGAGTCCGCATGGGTAGGTACCACTACCCCGCCTATTTCTGCCGTGAAGCAGTAATGCGTTTCGATTTGAAGGGTGGGACAGCCATTGTAACTATACCTGAGGCCTTAGTACTTATGTCTCAAGGTGGGTGGCACATTTACGTTGTAGATGTCTATGGGCTCCAGTAACCACTTAACACCAGGTGGGCTGTCAGCTCGTCCACCCATATAAGCAATAAAAAAAAGAAAACCGCAGCCAGGTACCAATTATTGTAATAAAATATGTGTTTGACAAATATTTAGGAATAATTTCCATGGTGATGAAGGAATCGAAAACCAAACCCGAAAAAATTATAATTAGCGCAATTACTGGTGCTACCGCCACTGGGACCGAGACATAGAACTCATATCTGTTGTGCGAGTTCAATCACTGTTTTCAGTTTTTCTCTTTCATTTTGTATGTCGGTACCTAGTGTATATTATAAGCGCGAAGTAATCATGCGTTTCTGTTTCAAGCGTCATATAACCGTTACTTCAATGCAATCGCGACCGTGACTCAAGGTGATATCCACTTTGGGCTGACTGTGGGCCTCCGTAGCATTTCACGCCACATGGCCTATCTACGCTAATCAATAAAACGTATATAGTGTGAAGTGTGTTAATGAATGCAGTTGGTCATTTAATTTTCTTCTTCGTATTTTTTTTTTTTTTATTGCTTAGATGGATGGGCGAGCTCACAGCCCACCTGGTGTTAAGTGGTTACTGGAGCCCATAGACATCTACAACGTAAATGCGCCACCCACCTTGAGATATAAGTTCTAAGGTCTCAGTATAGTTACAACGGCTACCCCACCCTTCGAACCGAAACGCATTACTGCTTCACGGCGGAAATAGGCGGGGTGGTGGTACCTACCCGCGCGGACTTACAAGAGGTCCTACCACCAGTGATTACGCAAATTATAATTTTGCGGGTTTGGTTTTTATTACACGATGTTATTCCTTCACCGTGGAAGTCAATCGTGAACATATGTTGAGTACGTATTTCATTAGAAAAATTGGTACCCGCCTGCGGGATTCGAACGCCGGTGCATCGCTCAACACGAATGCACCGGACGTCTTATCCTTTAGGCCACCACGACTTATACTGGATTCGGTTTCTTCAATACTGAGGGTCGTGACCACCTCCTCGCAACAAGAGTTTATTCTGGATCATTTTACGCATTTTTTTGTTTTTTTTGTTTTTATTTCTTAGATGGGTGGACGAGCTCACAGCCCATCTGGTGTTAAGTGGTTACTGGAGCCCATAGACATCTACAACGTAAATGCCGCCACCCACCTTGAGATATAAGTTCTAAGGTATCAGGTATAGTTACAACGACGGCCCCACCCTTCAAACCGAAACGCATTACTGCTTCACGGCAGAAATGGGCGGGGTGGTGGTACCTACCTACCCGTTCGGACTCACTCACAAGAGGTCCTACCGCCAGTAATTACGCAAATTATAATTTTACGGGTTTGATGTTTCGAACACCGGTTCATTGCTCAACACGAATGTCTTATCCTTTAGGCCACGACGACCATTTGCTTCTATCTGTCGCCGAGTGTAGAGCATCGTGAACTGTGGTGTCGAGAGTAGTGCGGGTCTGGTCAGTCTTGCCAGTGACCATTAGCTTCTACAAGCTGCCGTCATCCTTTCTGGCAATTTGGTTACTAAGCTAGAAATTAATTTATCCAGTTTTATTTTATAGATTTTGTTGTAGAATTACAACGTCCGCATTAAAAAATAACCTTCCGTCAAGGTAGGCTCAAGGTCCGTATAATTTGTCTTTGTTGTAAAAGAACACTGCTGCAACTCGAGCGTTGTATATTGTGCAGTAACGCCTAAGAGTCTACCACTATAAGCAGAGCTATTCTACGAGTAATATTTCCTGAGTTCCGTAAATTGTGTACTTAACATAACAATGTATGAAACACAAGCGGCATTGGTTCGGACGCAGGCTCTCCGTTCATTGAACTGGTCGGTGGTAAACGAAAACAAAACCGTTTTGCCGACTGTTCTGCTATTTTCGTCTTAACAAAACGCCTGTTATCATTTTGCTTTAGTAATTAGATGATGTTCTTGTAGGTATTCATCTAAGCAATAAAAAAAAAAAAAAAAAAAATGAGGCTATGAACATTGCTACCGAAAACTGATTTTGTCCATTCATTTTTAAATTCGTTGTTCTGTGAGCCCGATTAATGTCTTGATTGTTGACAATTTAACTAATGGTAATTTAATGGTAATCGCATGTTTTGGTAAAGTAAATCTTAGGTGATTTCATGATTTCATTTCATACTTTTCGCAATTGAATCACGTTAGTATATTCAAGTACAGCTTGTCTAATTATTAGCTGTGTTTTAGGATCATGTCATTTGCCGATTGTACAGACAATATAGACGATGATGTTTTGGACCGATTGGTATATTTTACAGAACTCAGTTACAACGTCCAGCCGTTCTGGATGAATCTGAAAATTATCTTTAATTTATGCCTCTATGTCATTCGAAGCGGCATTAATCATACTTGTAATTGAAACTATATTACCCTTGCTTTTTCTAATGGGCTGCAAATTGTTTGTTTTTCTTTGGGCATTGTTCAATTAAATATGATTTTGGGTTCTTCTAAAACACTAGTACATATTTTTCTTAAGTTACCCTCATTGATAGCTACGTCTTGTAGCGCGGTTTTTTAATTTCGTTTTTCTTTCCGTATAAAATATCCTGAGATAGTTAATTAGATATTTACAATACGTTAAGTACTACCTAAGTTAGACAATAATGAGCATTAAGTTGTAATTTTGTAGCCAATAAAATGTTATTATAAACACTTAATGTAGTTAACTTGCTTTTGAGTGATACCGTACACTTTATCCACATTTTGAGTGATACCGTACACTTTATCCACATTTTGAGTGATACCATACACTTTTATCCATCACAGAAAAATACGAAATGAATCGTCATTCTAAGATTTCTCGCATTCCAACAACGGTCGGACGGAAGTATCGGTTAGGTTAGTGGTAAATAGATTTTACGTGGCCACCGAATCGCTACTAAATATTTAGTATCGATTTGCCAAAATATACGCCTGGGTCTCCGTATCTTTTTCGTGATACCCAATACTTGCTATTTACGACCTCAAACTTATATTTGTTGGTTCTAAAAAAAACGAATAAAAAGGTTAGAGTTGTAATGTTGTAGCTAGTTAGAAATTTATTTATAGATAGACCAACACACCGCATGATCATATAACTACAGCTCACGTGCCCGTTTCGATATGTCATTATTTCGTGACAAAACTTTGTAGAGATGTTGTGTGAGTTGTGGTGTTTAGGAATTTTGAACATCTGAGAAGTATGGGACTACCTACCTACCACTAAAATATTTATTTCTATAATCGCTTGCCAGAATCGTTCTGTTGTTTTATGTCAAGTTAATACTTATTTATATAATGTAAAAGACTCATTGAATTTTAGATTTCGTTTTTCTTGCAATATCTAGACATCTGAATACTGTCTAGACCGAGTTTTGAACTCTGAGCACTCGAATGCTGTGAAACCTGAAGTAAATTGCTTTTGGGTTCACTTCACGCAGTCTGGTTTGTGACGTCGAGGAGGGCGGACACGCTGTCTCCCATATAAAATGAGCTAATAATAATCTTTACAAAAGATACACATGTTTATTTTCGGCGTAAAGTTTTGTTGTTCTCATCAAGATTGTCTCGCAGTTTGGTTGTTATGTAAACTGTTGAAAAACCCAAAAACTTTATTGGTTCGATCACGTTTTCTAGACGATATTTTCATCGATACAAAATGCTTATCTAATGCACACATGTGTGTCGAATGCCACATGGACCGTAAACCCCATGTCAAACGATAGGCATGTCGTATGTTTACACGACAAATAAACTATCGCATGCATTTGTGAAGAGACGTTCACGAGTCACAGTGCACCAGTGATCTTGAAGATTGTGTAAAGAGCTGAATCTTTGACGCCTTATTTTGCTGGCGACAATCTCCGTATTTTGAAAATCGCTATGTATGGGATAGTGTGATTTCCGCACCCTCATGGACAGTGAGGGTCGTCTAATATTCTGGAAGAGTGGAGTGTGGGAGGGCGGAGCTCCAACTCTGGACTGCAACACCTGCAAGAAACGTCGCGCGGACAGGATGAGCGCCAACGAGCGACCTCAAGGGTTTGTGATCATTTCAATATTTATTCAATGAAATGTTTGAAATGTCATCACACCATAACTTGATGATGATGAGATCAGGCTTAGTAAGTCTACCAATACTATCTGCTATCACAACTCCTTTTACTACGCTTAACATTTGAATATAGATACGGTTCAATGCAGTATCGCGTACATACTCTGTGATATGATGAGTGCCTCAAAACGTTAAAAAGGGCTTTATATTATGCAGCAATTGTATGAAAATATAGAGTAAAATACTTAAAGTTTGAACTGGAATCGTCTGTAACACGGGAAATAATTTTAGAATGAATCACGTCTCCGTTTCCCCGTAACTAAATAGCTTGTGTCGGTATCGGAAACCTGTTTTTCCTTGTGAAATAATGACTGTTTGAATAGTTAGTTGTATTTTGTTTGTTATCGTAGCATCCGTTTTGGTATACGATTTTTTTTGTGTACTTTGTTCCTATGTTTGGTGGTCATACGATTTTCTCATCGCTGAGTCGCCACTTAGCGGTATATAACTGTAAAGATTCTCACTATTTCTCATAATTGGAGATCTGACATTGTTTAGTCGCAATATTAGGTCCGATCGATCGTCTGTTGGTAGACATGATCTAACAACATTTTTCTAACTGTTTGATTACGAGTAGAGTTAATGTATTGTGAAAATTGAATGTGATATTCCTGTCGCGTTCAGTTTGTAAGTCTGTAAGAATCACGTGTTCAACGTATGCTAAGAATTCAATTCATGTTGCATGGCAAAATTAATGACACTAAAACAAACTTTCTGGCGGGAGCGAGAGGAATGAAATTCTGAGAATTGTTTGAATTAGTTCATTTAGTATTCAATCTGGTTTTGCTTAATGAAATAAATTCACAATAATCCTGCATGTGCCATCTCGGAATCTAACAAAACGCTCATTGAAGTATCATTGTAATTCCCACTATTTTAGGACGTTAACTTATTTCATAGTGTTTCATTAAAATTCATACCATAATTAATTTGCAATAAACCAAATTCTATTAATGTCGATCATTAATCTTTTCGTAAAACAAAGTACGTAATAAAAAAGAAGAGTTTGTTGAACCCGATGCTGACAACAATGGCACTCCGGGAAGCCGATTACAATACTAGAGAAATCGGATGAAGACACAAACACAATTTCATTATATCAAAAAGAACCAGAATAAAGGGAATCTACGCGTCTTACTTATCTTTTAAGCTGTCGACAATGGTTTTCTTTATATTAGGAGCATTTTTTGGGTCTGGTTTGGCAGAGACGAGTTTACAGTCCATTCCGTGCAAAACAGTTCCCGGGACCATCAATACCACAAACCAGTGGGTCAATTGGTCAGATACAACTCGCTCTATAGCCACATGTGTATTTAATTTTGTACCACGATATTATTTTTAAAACGTGAAAGTCATTCATGAACACGTATTGGGTTTATTACTTAGAAATTAGCGCTGGAGAACTGTAGCATCTTGGCAGAAACCTGGATTTCGAATTATTTCGAGAACTTTCGTTGATGTACAAACTCTCATCAACAATTTTGGTTTACCGCGCAAAATGCTTTACGTAAATGACTGCTTGTCATAGTATCAGCATATGGTACGTATTTAAGTTATTAGAGAATGCAGTCTTATCTTTAACAATGAGCTTTTAACAACCGATGAGAGTTGAAACGTTAACGGAGAAAGTGAAAATAATATTTCTTTAAATTAAATTGAATTTTTGAAATACCTGTTACGATGTAAACTAATGATTTTTTTTTTTTTTTTTATTGCTTTTATGGGTGGACGAGCTCACAGCCCACCTGGTGTCAAGCGGTTACTGGAGCCCATAGATATCCACAACGTAAATGCGCCACCCACCTTGACATATAAGTTCTAAGGTCTTAAGTATAGTTACATCGGCTGCCCCACCCTTCAAACCGAAACGCATTACTGCTTCACGGCAGAATTAGGCAGGGTGGTGGTACTCACCCGCGCGGACTCACAAGAGGTCCTACCACCAGTAATTCACAAGTTTCGACGACTCGAATTCTTTGCAATTTTCGGTGTCATGGAAAAGATCGATTATTTTCTGCTCAACCTTCCCTTATCTCGAAAAGTAATTATTGATTATATGTACTCATAGTATTCTACTTGAAGCATGAATCATAGCGTACACGTAATGTATAATATTATGTTACATTGTCACAGCTGATCTAATATATTCATAATAATCATTCCACGGTACCAACCGTCCAGTATATTTATCTTCTAAATACAATTTCATTAATGTATGTCTGTCTGTCTGAATCGTTTTGTCTCTTCGGTTTGTTTATAGAATGTTACGTGGAAATTATTGAGAATTTGATTAACTACGCATTGTAACTTATGACCTATATTATCTACTTTTTACTGGTGGTAGGGTGTCTTGTGAGTCTGCACGGGCTGGTATCACCACCCTGCCGTGAAGCGGTAATGCGTTTTGGTTTGAAGGGTGTGTAGCCGTTGTACTGTCAAAAACTGAGACATAACTCATGTCTCAAGATGCTTACCGACATATACGTTATTGATGTCTATGGGCTCCGGTAACCACGTAACGCCAGGTGGGTCGTGAGCTTGTTCACTCATTTAAGTAATAAAAAAGAGTGGTCGCTGGCTTGACTATCAACTTCATTAACTTGAATAGGCTGACGAGATCATTGTCCACCTGATATTAAAGAGTTACCTCAGCCCATAATAAACTTATGGTTTGTTAAAGTTTATTTCTGTTTAAAATCGGTTGTAATGGCGCAGTTTTACGACGTTCCGTAGACGGGATTAACGAGCAGCACATCGGGAGACGGTACGGAACGCTGACTCGGTCTTTAAAATGTAAACTAATCGAGAAACGATTCATTGACATTCATAATAAATAATAGTTTAAAAAAAAACTAACAAAATTAACAAAACTAACTAAAAAGCGTCGGGTGTTTTTCAGGATATTATCAAAATAACCCTTCTACTCATATTTGTTTATAAAATATTTATAACTACTTATACCCTGCACCCCACGCTTTTTTACAATAAAATAATTTTTCCTTACACTTTTTAATTCAAATTTATTAAAATTGATTCTCTGTTTTTTAGTTGGATTTTCTATAAAAGCGTGTTTTGTTAGTTTTTATTAAACTATTATTTATTTTTAATTATTTAGTTGAACTTCAATTTTTTCAATATATTTTTTATTTATTTTTTTAAATATTGAATTATCATCGGTCATAAGTATAACAAATTTCAAGTTACCCGACGTTTGAAGAGGGTCAAAATCATGTTCATACGTCTGAAGTTAATAAAAGCATATTAAAAATGAAAATAAACTTGGAATTACCCAAAGACAATTTAGTCATTGTCGTGGCCTAAAAGATAAAACGCCCAATACATTCGTATCAAGCGATGCGGCTGTGCCCGTGTTCGAATCCCGCAGGCAGGTGCTAAGTTTTCCAATGAAATACGTACAATGACAAATGTGCACGATTAAATTCTACGGCGAAGGAATAAGGTGTAATAAAAATCCAAACCCGCAAAAATTATAATTTGCGTAAATTATCTTCCGTGAAGCAGTTATAAGTTTCGGTTTGAAAGGTGGGACAGCTGTTGTAATGTAAAAACTGAGGCTCTAAAACTTATATCTCAACGTGGGTGGCGGCATTTATGCTGTTAACGTCTATGGGCTCCGGTGACCAGTTAGCACCAGATGTCCACCATTCTAAGCATTTTTTTTTTGTTTTGTATTTATAAGATCAAAAAAGACTTTCAAAGAAATGCAATTACGAAAATCGAATATTACTTAATTTATTATTCTGGTTTTAGTATTCATAAAATTAAACATTCCACATTTTAAATACTTATTTTATTATTCTGAATTGAGTTTAAATTATTTCTCTGAGGAGTCTTTATGTAAATCAGAACCTTTGAGTTCTGAGAAATCTTTTTCGTAAAATATTTGTCTCAAGTTGCGCGTTTTGATTAGTTTCTTTTATTTGTTTATTTAAAAATGAATAAAGTATTGGCAGTCGGGTTGCGATAGTTAGTTTACTTTCAGCGTAAAGTTCATAATATATCGTGCGGCCGGTAAAATCATAGATAACGGTTTACCAAACCGGAAAAGGAAGATGGCGAAGACGGTTACAAAATGAGCAAGGCGTAATAAAAGTGTTAATTAATTAAGGGATCTATTGACGGTGCTTGAATAGTGCAGTCGTGCATTCCGTTTGTTCTCCGAATCTAAATCGAAAACCAGTGATAAAACTTATTGTTTTGTATATCGAGTTGAGCTGGGTCAAAGTTAATAGTGCCAGTGTGACTACTGTATATTTCAAACTACAATTAGTGCCACTGTTTGGATTCCACATCAAAATTTGTCTTTTAAAAANAACGCACTCCTATAATCCCGACGCCCTCAGTTAGGACGGCTTTTGCTCGTCGTTTTAGCTCCTACATGAAACCTTACTTATATAACAGACTCAATAAAAAATACAAAATTCTTAACCTAAATTACGAAGAAGTTAAAAGAAAGTTAATAAAAGAACTGCTTAATTGGTCCTACTCTTTTTCGGAGGACTTTCTGAAATGCATTAAGTAATCCTAAACACGTACTTATGGTAAAAATCATTACACCTGTTCCTTTTCTTTTTATATATATGTGTATGTATATATATGTATATGTGTGTGTGTGTATATATATATGTATAATATTTCGCTTAACTATTTTGATTTACTTGTATATTCAGCACCGTTATTACTAGTTTTAAGATACTCCTGTAAAAAAAACTCTCCACGAGACAGGCAGTGCCTAGTGTGGAGAGTTTTTAGCAAACTGTTATGTGTAAATGTATCATGGTTAATAAATAAATTATTATTATTATTATTATATAAACCACTTTTTTATTGGCATAGATGCAAAGACCATTGCGTGCACGAACCACTAGGTGAATCGGAACTAATAGTAGGAGCCCATAGAAACTGGATGAGTCCTGCCACCGCTCTCCTTGTCAGCTATAAGCTATTAGGCAGTTGTCATCATCCAGCCGGAACTCTAATTCAATTTCTTCGCAACAGCCATTCTCAATTATGTTATACGTCATTTAAAATCACGTACAATTTACGTTAGCGATCAATTAAAATCAGAAGCGGCTTCAGATGATACGAATTGGGACACGCCGGAGTTTGAATGTCGCGATAAAAGGTCGTTGTCTCCCGTTATTGATTACCGTACATTACGATAAAGTTGATGGAAAGTTGTAGCTTTGAATGATTATTACCAATAATTTCTTTTTATTTAATTTTTTTATGATCTATAAGTTTTATGTGTAATTACTGAAAATACGAGAGTCGTGGCTGCGGCTAAAAATGCAACTCCGATGTATCACATACGTTTTTGCTCAAATGACTAAGACATTTAATAATAACTTGGGTTCGGTCGGCAACCTCACAACCCACCTGGTGTTCGGCGGTCAGTCCATAGATGTTACGATCCATTCCCATAGACACAGCCCACTGAGTTCCTCGCCGGATCTTATCAGAGGGTCGCGATTCTCATCCGGTGGTAGATTCTCCGTAGTACTAGGGCCAGTGTTAACGAATTCTCTCAGGTTGAGCCCGTAAGTTCATCTGCCCGACCACGCGAACCTGGAATAGCCTTAGGCAACCAGTGAAAAATAGGATTTTTTTTCTCTTTATTGAGATAACAGATCAAAGCTTAAATGACATTGGAATACCGACTGTGCCACTCTAGAAGCCGGGGAGCACGGTCGTTTCGTATCAACCACTGGTTGTTGTAGTTCTTTAAAAGTCGTCGTGAAGACGTCCGGTGCATTCGTGTTGAGCAATGCACCAGTGCTCAGATTTCAGGCGGGTGGGTACCTACCAATTTTTCTAATGAAATACGTACTTAACAAATGTTCACGATTGACTTCCACGGTGAAGGAATAACATCGTGTAATAAAAATCAAACCCGCAAAATTATAATTTGCGTAATTACTGGTGGTAGGACCTCTTGTGAGTCCGCACGGGTAGGTACCCGTACCTTGCCTATTTCTGCCGTAAAGCAGTAATGCGTTTCGGTTTGAAGGGTAGGGCAGCCGTTGTAATTATACTGAGAACTGAGAACTCATATCTCAAGGTGAGTGAAGGCATTTACGTTGTAGATGTCTATGGGCCCCAGTAAGCACTTAACACCAGGTGTAACACCAGCTGCCCTTGAGTCATAATGCCTTCGGGGCCACTCGAGCAAGCCATCCCTTTCCGATCCGGTACTAGATTCAGAAATACCTGCTCTTGAGTTGTTAGGTCTCCTTTGGAGGCGCTCGGGCAGCTGTTAGCAAATCCTTACTTAAATTTGAGTTGTTTTGTTTTTCAGTGAATTAAAGAAGTTATCAGAGGAGAGTTTGACGCGGCAACCAGAGGAGGTATTTGATATAATATGCAAACTAGGCGAAGGTTCCTATGGAAGTGTTTACAAGGTAAACAGTGCCCTTTTCAATGCTTACCTATTTAACCAAGTTTGTAAATGGTTTAATGCTTTATAATTGATTTAATTAATTTGCAACTTATAAGTCGTAAAGGTATTATCGCTGTTCGTCGATATTGATGTCAGTAACATGAGGTTATTCTCGACTCTGTATCTTTTAGAAATATGTTTTGTTTTTAATGTATACCTAGTCAGGTCATAAATTCTGTCACATGTTTAATGTAAAATACTTGAAACAAGTTTATTCATTATGTAACCATTCATATACCAAAATGAACTTAACAAAACATAGATTCTTATGACACTAAAGTTTATTCAAAATGACCTCCGTGATTTTGAATACAGGCCTTCAATCTGCGCGGCCAGTCGTCTATCGCAGCACGAACGAGGTCCATGTCAATATCGGCGGCTGCCTTAATCAAGGATGTCTTGAGTGACTCCAAATTGGGATGAGGCTTTGAGCACGCCTTTTCCTCCAAGTGTTGCCATATCTTGTAATCTAACGGATTCAAATCTGGACTGGAGGAGGGCCAGTCTTCGTGCCGGATGAAGTCGATTTCACGCGCCGCCAGCCAGTCTTGTGTGCTCTTCGCTCTATGAGCTGGCGCCGAATCTTGTTGGAATACCCAGTGCCTGTTATTGAACATGGTATGAGAAACAGGTTCCACAAGGTTCGTCAGGACTGTATTTTGATACACAACTGCATTCGTTTTTACACCTTTCTCACAAAAATGTACCTCTGTTAAGCCCCAATAAGAAACTCCCAACCATACCATGAGCGAGGATGGAAAATGACCTCGTTGGACACGCGGAATACGGTTGCTCGCTTCTTCACTACTGTGTGCGTACACCTTATCATTTTGTTTGTTGTAGCTCTCTTCTACGGTAAAAATTTTTTCATCCGAAAGAAGAATTTTCCGATATTTTTTTCCCGCGTACCGCTTCAACAAAGCGCGGCATCTCTTCAGTCTCAGGTCCATTAGACGCGCATTCAAACGATGTCCTGTTTTTCTTCGATATGCCCGAAGCCCTAAGTCTTCATTTAACACCCTTTTCACCGTGGTTCTGCTTAACCTCATCTGAAGGGCCAACAGTTTCTGCTTACGTTTGGGATTACTTTGAATTCGCGCCTTCACAGCTTTTATCACTGCTGGAGTCCTAACAGACCGAGGGCGACCACTTCTTGACCTGTCATCTACACTAGAGTCTTCATTGTATCGTTTGATGGTACGATAAACGAATCTTTTGGTTATATTCAAATTTTTTAGTATGTTAAAAATTTGAATTGGCGCGTAACCGCAACGATGCAAAGCAATAACTGCACCACGGTCTTCTTTAAGCGTCCACTCCATATTTAAAAATGAGTAAAAATTCTAAAAGTATACCTTTTTTTTTTCATGAACAATTCGAGATTCGAATTCAATAAACTTTTTTGTGGCCAGCATTCTAAAAGAAAAGTTTTTACTGTGTGACAATACTTATGACCTGACTAGGTACTAGATACTACTACTATTTCTACTATATACACGCACGGAAACTGAAAAATTCTGAAGAGGTCCAAGGCTAATACGAAGCTTACGTCGTAGGCAATACGAACTTACGGTCCACTGCGCAGTGAGGTGGTCATCGACTCTCAGGGACGTTAGCAATCAAGGGCCAAGCGAAGCCGCTACCTACGCCGATTATCGGTAGTAAAGTACTCGTAACCCACGTGGACTCATCCCGCTTAGACAATCTGCGAACTTCACATGTGTTCTATGTTGTGCATAGTTTAGTTTTTAAGAACGAGCCGATGTCACCAATGTTACCGGTCACCGTCCTCGTCGAACCCGTCGATTGCGACGAAGGGCTCGACGAGCGAATTAACTCATAGACACAGCCCACTGAGTTTTTCGCCGGATCTTCTCAGTGGGTCACGTTTCCGATCCGGTTGTAGATTCTGCCAAGCACTGCTCTTGCTAGGGTCAGTGTTAGCATCACTCCGGTTTGAGCCCCGTGAACTCTCCTACTAGTTAAGGTTACGCTGAAATAGCCTCTGAAGGCTATCATATCAGCATAGGTAGGAAGAAAAAGACAGTGTTAACGATGGTGATTTGTTTTTTTCTGGCTATGACCATATTTTTTGGCAATGCGTCCCAAGCACTCCAATCAGACAGCCCGACAATAGATTTACTGAATAATGATGCAATTTAAATAATTTTTGCACCGCGCTTACTTAGTGCAGTGTGCCTTACTCTACGTTTTTAAATTGCAGGCGTTACACAAAGAAAGCGGACAAGTGCTTGCTATAAAGCAGGTACCTGTGGATACAGACCTGCAGGAGATCATAAAGGAGATATCAATAATGCAGCAGTGCGACAGTCCTTACGTCGTCAAGTATTACGGGAGCTACTTCAAAAATACCGATCTGTGGGTAAGAAATAGGGTCTTTGTCTTCTTCTAAGCCCTTGTTCCATTAGGTGGTCTCGGCTACCGGCGAGTTGTCTGACGCGAACTAATCAGGTATTGTGACTACTACTACAGTAGTGGGTGGAAGTGATCTGGGTTTCATATCCGATTAAGTATGTGCTTAGTGTTGTTTTCTGTGTGAGAAATAAATAGTTAGCGCAAATTTCAACCCAATATTTTGGCAAATAAAACCTCAATGCTCTCGACCGTTGCTGCGAACCTGAGTTACTCCTAACTCCGTAAATAACAAATGCATTCTTAATCAAAATTTTTCGTCCTGGCAATGAAAATTCGGATACATTATTATATTGACATGGTGTCTTTTGTAACTTACAGATCGTGATGGAGTACTGCGGGGCGGGCTCGGTGTCGGACATAATGCGGCTGCGCAAGAAGACTCTGTCAGAAGACGAGATAGCGACCATCCTCTGCGACACGCTCAAGGGCCTGGAGTATCTACACCGGCGAAGGAAGATCCACCGGGACATCAAGGCCGGGAACATCCTCTTGAACACTGAGGGACACGCCAAACTGGCGGACTTCGGGGTCGCCGGGCAGCTGACCGTGAGTTATTTTTTTATTGCTTAGATGGGTGGACGAGCTCACAACCCACTTGGTGTTAAGTGGTTACTGGAGCCCATAGACATCTACGTAAATGCGCCATCCATCTTGAAATATAAGTTCTAAGGTCTCAAGTATAGTTATAACGGCTGGCCCACCCTTCAAATGGTGGTACCCACCTGCGCGGACTCACAAGAAGTCACCAGTAATTACGCAAATTATAATTTTGCGGGTTTGATTTTTATTACACGTTGCTATTCCTTCACCGTGGAAGTCAATCGTGAACGTTTGTTGAGTACGTATTTCATTAGAAAAATTAGTACCCGCCTGGGATTCGAACACCGGTGCATCGCTCAACACGAATGCTCCGGACGTCTTATCCGTTAGGCCACGACGACTTCGTCCAAACCTTTGAACTTTGAATTCTTACTGATCCTCGAACGTATAATCGTCGTAGGCACGATGTAATGCAACCCTTAGTACAATATGATGGACATGTACTCGACTTCCCCATCCTCAGGACACGATGGCGAAGCGTAACACGGTCATCGGCACCCCGTTTTGGATGGCGCCCGAGGTCATTCAGGAGATCGGGTACGACTGCGTGGCCGACATCTGGTCCCTGGGCATCACCGCTCTGGAGATGGCGGAGGGCAAGCCGCCCTACGGAGACATACATCCCATGAGGGCCATCTTCATGATACCCACCAAGCCGCCGCCTTCCTTCAGGTACGCAGTCCGCGCCGAGCCTGCCACTCCACTAGCTCCACACGAGCTGGCTTCATTCTGAACGTTTGGTTGCAGGGAGCCGGACCAGTGGTCGTCAGAGTTCATAGACTTCGTTAGTCAGTGCCTCATCAAGAACCCTGAAGATAGAGCCACAGCAGAGTTTCTATTGGCTCATGAGTTTATAGGTAAGTATTGTGTCCCTTGTGTCGCGCCGGGCGGGCGCCCTATGGCCACTATTTGGAACTAATACAATGAGTGGGAATTTCTCTAGGACAATACGCGTGTCGTAGGAGGTACGCTTATAAATATATATAGTCAGAGACAATTCCCACGCGGTCACTGGCCCGGAGCGGAGTTCCCGGGTACAGTGGGAACCGGAACACAAATACGTTCCATACTTTTAAAAATATATATATTAACCACTCAAATACTTGTGTGAAGTAGAGAAGCCTTCTTAGCGCGTCAGTAACAGTAACAATTGTCGTAGGTAACGCGAAGCAGCCCAGCATACTGAGCACCATGATAGCGGAGGCCCGGGAGCTGCGGGAGACGCAGCTGTACAGGAGCTCCCACCAGGCCTCCAACAACGCCAGGGCCTTTGCCGGGGTATGAACGTAACGGTCCCCCTAATCCAACCCTCCCGCGCATGACACGCCCGGCACCCATCCCGGGTCGGCCCCCCATCCCGGGTCGGCCCTCCAAACTGGGTCGGCGCCCCAGTCCTATCGCACGTGCCGCGTGTGACCTCGCGCCTGCTAGTTGACTCGTTGAGCTGGGGCTCATTAGGTTTGCTAAAACCAAAGATGTTCGTATGATCTTAGATATAGATAATTTTGGAATAAACGATACCTTTATCGTTTTTATGATAAAATATGAAAATTTGGAGCAATTTTTTGGCACTAGCGAGCGCTAGGTAGATTTGTCAATGGATTTGTTGTGTGAGTGTAAGCCGCGTGCTGTGACCCCGCAGGGCCCTGACTACTCCGAGGCCACCATGAAGCAGCGTTCCGACGGGACGCTGGTGCCCGATCAGCTGGCCGACCTCAGCGCTGACCTGGGGACCATGGTCATCAACGAACCAGAACCGGACCTCGCCACCATGAAACGTGAGTTTGCACCGCACCCGTATGTGCTATATGTGGAAAATTCAAAAACATTAAACTCGCTTTACTCTGAAGTAGTCGTAACTCGAATTGATTTCCACATAAAGCTCTGTCCGACGACAGTACCAACCACCACCGAGGAGGCAGCCGGTGGCGTTACAGAAACTGTGTAATTCCTCTTCTTGAGGCTTATATTAGTACCGTATTGCGCTTCTTTACCGCACCGACCAACCTTGTGGCCACTGACCCCTCCACTGCTTCGTGAGCAATATGACGTGTCTCTCTGCAGCAGTGAGTGGTGGTGGAGCGGACAGCAGCTGGCTCGGTAACGGAGGGTAGTTGTATGTCGCCAGGGCACGACACCGACCCCATGGACACCAACAAGCCGAAGTACCGGCCGCTGTTCTTGGAGCACTTTGACAAGAAGGAGATGAACCACTTGAACATCGGGGCCCCCACCAACGGGACCCTCACCGGCCCGCTGCGGCATCTTCCTCAGCACAGCATAGGGTGAGACTCGCGCCGCCCCCCTCGCTCCCCCACGTGCCCCCTCGCTCCCCCACGCGCCCCCTCGTCCCCCCGGTGCTCTGTAGTGCACCGGGGGGCTAACGAACGAGGTCGGTGCGCGCACCCAACTGAACCTACCGTAGTCTCGGTCAATTTACAACATTTTGATGGAGAGATTATTTCAATGTACTTAGTTGTATTCATTTAATTTCATATAAATTTACATCATTTCATTTCGCTCTATTTTACTTTAGATAAAACATATGCACGTGTGTATAGATGTGGTTTGTTATAATGAAATAATATGTAATTATAAAAGAAGATTGGACTTAAAGGATTAGGATCCAGGTTATTTGAAAATATAAAAAGGTTTTTTATGATAAAATCATCAATGCATACACATAAGAATACCACAGAATTCAATAAGTCTGTACATTAAAGAAAAATAATGAAAATGTAAAGAGGGTAGATGGGGAGGGGTATATAAATTGACGAACCTTAGAATTTTTTTTGTCTGTTTGTTCGTTTGCTTGTTTGTTTCCACAATTAGATGTTGATATAATTGGGACAAGAAGCACAGTGATTAAAATCAAATGCTGTAATAAAGCTTTGGTGATTTAAGAAAATATGATTAAATTAATTTTATTAACCGACTTCAAAAAAGGAGGAAGTTTTCAATTCGACTGTATGTTTTTTTTATTATGTTTGTTACCTCATAACTTTTGATTGAGTGAATCGATTTTGATGATTCTTTTTTTATTAGAAAGCTGACGCTTCCCGTGTGGTCCCATTTTAATTTAGTCCAACTCTGATAATGGTATGCATGAAAAAACCATGTAAATCTTAAATTTGCATTAAGTACTTGCGCGACAAATAGATGAATAACCCAATATCACTCAATATCATTATTGTTTTTAGTGTATATTCATTTGTTTTGGAATAAAAAAAATTCTATTTGAAGTTCGTTTTTGTGTTAAAGCATGTCTATTTACAATTATCGAAATTACGTAAGAAGCCGTGAGCAGCCGGTGCGGCTGAAGTGTAACCTAACGTGTTTATCGTTAAAGTGGCGAGAGTGAGGCCAGCGAAGTGGGCGCGGCGGACATCCAGCGCGCGCTGATGGAGGAGGGGAACTTCGAATTCGTAAGTCAACTCCACCTCGTCGCTATACTGCCGCTGCCCCTCTAGCATCGCGTAAGTGCGCGACCTCTGCCCCCTTCCCACTCCCCCTCCCCCTGCCGGCCAGTACAACCCCGACTTCCACATAACATTTTTCTGAATACGATTCTGTCATCTACCTATATTCTGGCCCATAGCATCAGTCGACCGGAGTCAATTCTTCTAATGGAATATGTACCCGATGGGTGTTTGCGAACGACTCCCACCGTACAGCAATAATGTTGTGTAGTGCTAAATTAGCAAACATTGTGCGATCCATTAACGGTGCTTTTAGACACCACAAGCACCGGTCACCGACCTCGTCGAACCCGTCGCTTTAACCCATAGACAGAGACCCATAGACCGAATTAACCCATAGACAAGCCCGCTGAGTTTCCCGGCCGATCTTCTCAGTGGATCGCGTTTCCGACCTGGTGGTAGATTCTGCGAAGCACGACTGTTGCTAAGATTAGTGTTAGCAATGCTTCCGGTTTGAGCCCCGTGAGCTCATCTACATGTTAGGGCGAAGCTGAAATAGCCTCTCAAGGTTATCAGCATAGGTAAGAAAGTTTAAAACATTGTGATATATGTCCAAGTATTGTAAACATTAAGTGAGCACCAGAGCCCCGCGGGACTCGAGTTGCCGTCACACTGAAGCGCTGGCTCAAGGTAGCGCGACAGGATGAGTCCCGTGGGCTCGTGCACAAAGAAAAAAATTTCGTGTCTTGGTTGAGAACAAGTTGTCGCGAGGAGAGCGTCCCCTCCGCCGTCAGATCAACTGTCTCAGTACGACAATAACTTGTATCCACTGCAGATCGGTACCGTACTAGTTAGTTACGGGGACGTTTGAACCGAGATTAGTACCAAATACCAAAATTACTAAATCGAATAAAACTAGATAATTTTTACTGGTGGTAGGACCTCTTGAGAGTCCGCGCGGGTGGGTACCACCACGCTGCCCGTTTCTGCCGTGAAGCAGTAATGCGTTTTGGTTTGAAGGGTGGGGCAGCCGTTGTAACTATACTTGAGACCTTAGATATCTCAAGGTGTGTGGCGCATTTACGTTGTAAATGTCGATGGGCTCCAGTAACCATTCAACACCAGGTGGGCTGTGAGCTCGTCTACCCATTCAGGCAATAAAAAAAATGGGAACACGTAAGCCCAGAGGATGTGATAAAAACGACGCCTTTCCAGCTGTGGCAGCTGTCGGAGGCGGAGCTGGAGCAGCGCGTGGCTCGGCTGGACGCGCAGATGGAGCAGGAGATCGAGCTGCTGCGCGCGCGCTACGCTCGCAAGCGACAGCCCATCCTCGACGCCGTCACGCTCAAGCGGAAGCGACAGCAGAACTTCTAGCTCGCACCACCACTCGCAGCACCAATGCCATCCATGGCTCCAAGTCGGTTTCCGCAACGGCGACCAACATTGTCTGTTCAATAACTTAGAAGCTAATGTCCGTGGTAGCCTATCTTGTTCTTAAACGTGCGCAAACAGAAGCTACACGTAAGAACACCACCCATAAGGTTGTAAAAAATGGTGGAAGGCGGTATCTATTTTTCAGTCTATTTCTCACCAATGTACTACTGCACTCAACAAACAACTCAACTTCTATAACTTATGTTTCGACCTAATCGCTCTCTATGTTTTGTGAAACATTCGTTCAGTGGACACTATAGTGAAATTTAATGACAAAACGATTGAAGTTGTATTCCACGTTAATTTGTCGCCAGAGTACCCACTAGTGACGTCACGCGTCACGAGCGAGTGTCACGCTCTGAGTGCACCCTTATTTGTATGAGATAATAAGTTATATTTCATTTATAATGTGCTGGTTGATTTAATTTATTTATAATCAAACTGTTTATGAAAATTATCCGCCTCCGAATCGTGGCCCATAGGGGTCGCCGCACCGCTCAAGTTAACGGGGCCATTAAACTAATGGAGTGCATTTAGTTAACTGAGTGCGGTGGGTGACGCGCGACGCTCGCCAGGTGTTGACTAAATTAATTATTGTGCTAATAATAAGGTGCTTTTAACAGCGGAAGTGCCAAATATTATAATATCAATTATTGTTCCTACTGCACGCGGCGCCGCGGGGGGCGGGGGCGGGGTTAGCGCGACGCGACGAGCGGTAAACGTGAAATTAAAGTGAGCAATATTTCGTTTTATGAGAAGATTCATAATAATTATATCATTCGGGAACGTCGGCGCGATGGAACTACGGTTCTGTCGTTGTCCATACACACACATACACACAACTTGTATTACTTTGATTTCATAGAAAAAATAGATTTTTTTGTTTTATTATATTAAGTTTGTTAGAATTTTAATGCATTTAAAAATAATTATAGTAATTAACATTTTTATGTCTCGTTTCGGAATGTTTGTTTGATAAGCCATCGTAGCCAGTGTCACTGTGTTGTTTACTAACCTATGACGTCACGCACTGGTTAAGATGGCTGTTCTATTGACGCGATACCTGTGATCGAAGAATTATATACAATATAGTATTAGAAGACTAACAGAAATGTCTGTGAGTTGCTCGGTCGCACCCCCCGCGGTCCCCGGGGTCCGACGGGGGTGTCCGCGGGCGGTAGTGAGGCAGAGTGTGTTGTTGCATGAGGTCGATGTAGATACATTGTATTATAGTTTAGAGATATTAGCTATTAAGGAGTATACATATCTACGTAATGAAGCGGTGCGGGCGCCGGCCCTCCAAAGATAATCGTCTCAGCGCGCCGGCGCACACTCCCAAAAACTAGATATTGCGGCGCGACCTTAGTGTTCCTACAATGTGCTCACGACTGCTCACCGTGAGTGGCCTGTCAGCAGTGATTATTTATTATTAACGTGCATTTAAATTAACTGAAACCGATAACAATTGTATGTAAGGCATCTGTTAATTGAATGTTAACAAAACTTTGACCTCATGCGTGAGGCGTGCGATGTCTCACGGGCGTGGAGGCATCGCTCTGTGAAGACTGCGTTAATGACTAGAGCACCCGGGCCGCGTGTGGCCGTGCGTCGAGGGCGGGGGGACGCGCGGGGCGGGGGGTGGCGCCGGGGAGGGGGGTCTGGGAATAATTTTAAATGATTCCTTCTCGGCTTGAAATTAATGAAAAAATGGAACTTGATAGTACCATTTTTTTACGTCGAGATAAATGAAATAATGTTTCTCGAAGTAAAAAGAATACTATTTGGATTGATAGTAGTTTGGATGTTTTCCTTCAAACCGAACCGCATTATTGCTTCGTGATAGAAATAGTCAGGACGGTGGTACATACTCACCCGCGCGTCCACGGTCGCAATACTGGGCGAGTGAAACTGGTTCCTTAACTCGTACGATCTCAGTGTAGTATCTCTTCGTCTAAACGTTAGTGTAGTTAATTGTAATGTACAGATGTACAGTGCGGCAGTACACGCCGCGCGCTCGGCGGGACACGTAGCTAGTCGGTTTGGACGTGTGGATCACGTTCTGTTTGACGAAGCCTTAAACTATCAAGTTTAAGGCTTCGTCAAACAGAACGTGTACTTAACGCTGCGTTTTAACGGCGCGCTCTTTTCATGTCACACAAGTTGACTAGATGAGTCCAACGCTCCTTGACGCAACGTAACATTCGCCAATTCATAGTGCCTTTCGATAGCAGTGTGAAAATTTAAAAGTATTATGATGTCGAGTGATACATAGAAGCATGGGTATTTTTTAACTAATTCTATCAATTTTTCGGGCATTATCTAGTATTTTAATACACATTCACTCGGATGCTAAAATAAAATTTGTAAAAAATTACAACGTCTGACGTCAAAGCGTCCTAACGTCGCGACAAAGCGTTGCGTACTTATAGCGCTGGAGCTCTGTTTGAGTTTTTTTTTTTTGCCCTTGTAGGCTGACGAGCATACGACCCACCTGATGGTGAGTGGTTACCGTCATCCATGAACTTCAGTAATGCCAGGGGCAGAGCCAAGCCGCTGCTTAGTATATAATATTATCATAATAGTACAACACATCTCGACGTCATAGCGCGCCGTCAGTTTAGCGTTCTGACGCGCGCTAAAACGCACATTAAATAAAGGTGACTGAAATAAATTATACTTTTTATTCAGAAGTAGAAAACAAACTAAACCGTCCTTACGCACGGAAAGCTAAGGGACGACTGAAACCATTAAGTAGAATAACTAAATGCGATTACACCTCCCTAAATGCGTTTCTAATTAGGCTTCTTTCTATATGATTTAGTCAGTCAGAAACCATCCTTGCTACTGAATTTAGTAGGCTAACTTACTGAATGCTATTACACTTCACTGAATTCAGTCGACTAAATTTAGCCAAGTGTAATAAAAGGCTTTAAGTACACGTTCTGTTTGACGAAGCCTCTACTAATTTTGTAAAGCAATAAGTACAACGTTTGGTACAAATATATCTATGAATTATCGAAGTAGAGATGATGTGCTGTTATTATTATTTTGTATTTTCATCATCACATGAGCACTTTAAGATATTGTTTGGGCTTGGGTCCCAGGACGGCGTGCTATAGAGTCGCGTTCTGCATCGACACCCGCACCGCGCTGCTGTCCAGGCACCACACCCTGTAGTGTCCGCGCGGCGCACATCGTTAGGCCTAGATAAAAAAGGGTTATATTTAATTTTATTTGTACATTTTTAAGAATTCTTTGTAATTCGTTTCTGTTAGTATACGTATACTTGAAAAACTATATTTCGCCTTTAAGTGCCATTAAAATAATATTTTCATACAAAAAATGGATCTAATACGAAATCTAAAAATATTCTTGACGAATCTAAAAATAAGTAATAATAATAATCAAAACAAATGTATTTTAGTGCCATTCAAATGGAAACATTATTTTAGAAGTTCGAAATATTTTTTTACGATTGAAATAAATATTATAAAATGTAGTTTTGTATTCTGCTGCGGCTCTAATTATACTGGACGCGATGCGAACCAAANCACACACACACACACACACACACACAAACACACACACACACACACACACACTTACACACACACACGCGCGCGCGCGCACACTAACACACACACACAATCACTCAACACACACAAAATTGCTTCGGTGAGAAGATCTTTGAAACTGTTAAGTGTTAACGTATGTTATATAGTGACGATATTAATTTTATTGTTTGTTGCCATCGACCGCAACATCGGCGCCGATCAAGGCGATGCCCAAGCGAACAGTATGTGGTACATGTACATGCACTGTTCCTTGGGAATCAATAAACTCGTTTTAGATTCAAAAACAGTATTAATGAACCGACCCGAAGTTCTAAAACGTGTTCCCGATTATAAACTTCGGAAAGGTGCAAGTCTATTTACTGACAAATAAAACGAATTAGATGTGCGTGTCGCTCCGGGTGTGTCCCGGGGCGGCCCAAACTGAATTCATTTCGTCTGTGTAATATGTACAGGGTAAATAAAATATTAATGTATCGAACATTGACTACCGTCATTTTGTAATTTAATTTAATTTTGTCATTTCGGTCTAATCTTCATAAATAAAAGAAAAGTGACATATTTTATATTAGAATACCCGGAATTAGTTAATTTATGACCAAGGACCCTGACGTCACGGCACGCAGACTGCGGTGACGTCATTAGTCGCGTCTGCTGGCGCCGCGTAGTTTTCGACACGTGATATATAATTTTTCGTTTTCTAGAATACATCTACGCAAGAATGTTTTCTTTTATTTATTTATAAGATTTACTGTTAACAAAAGTACTCGCGTATTATTGTAACACTAGACTTGTTTATTGCGATTATTATTAATTTAGATTGCGTATAAGATTATATTTAAGATAATAACAATAATAAGCTTGTTCGCGTGATATAAAGAGTGGCCGTCGTTTTGTGATTGTTGTTGAATAGTTTCGGCCTGTGTGTTGCAAGTTTGTTGTTCGCGTACATTGCGTGCTCAGTGCGAGACGCGCAGTGTGCGTCGTCCCGCGCTCAGTGTTGAGGTCGACGGCGTGTGCGTTCTATTTTTGGACAAATGACTCACAGAATAAAAGATTCATTATAAAATAAATTTGTTTTATTTATTTATTTTATCATAACATTTCAAAATATGAGATCTCACAGTGATTAAAGAAAAAATTAATTATTCGAATAAAATAATTTTGGAAACAATTCCTTAATATTACTCACCTTCATTCTAAATACTACATTTTTAGTATACATCGTTAGGAATACAAATAAACATTAGACAACCTAGGAACTCACTAGTCACATACTATAACTACATCAGACATTCAAGAGATGAAACATTAGGTACAACGCTATAACATTAGTAATACTATATACAGTTCCCGCGACGACCGGTTGGCGCTGTAGTTCAACTTCTACTACAAACTCTAATCTAATTGAGAATTATAATTTTGTCTTCACATTTTCTACTATTTTCTTTTGATTATTATATATTTCATAATAAAAATATTTTTAAAGAGATTATAATTACATAGTTATTGATTATTATTATACTTCAGGAGAGCCTTTAAAATATTCATTAATTTCGAAATTTAAAACATTAACTTCAGTGTTTGTAACATTGTACAATGGTCGTAGTTTTTAGATAACAGTTTATTAGTGTAATTACATTTTCTGTTATTCTTTGAACATCAAGGCCCGATCGGATCGATCATCGGAATACTTTAATTTTAGTAATATTTACATTAACACTAAGAATAGGAAATGTCTGAGGACTACGGTCTATAAATGCAAATTAACACAACGTGTCGGTAATATTAGCTATTTATGAAATATATAGTCTTCTCGCATTAAAACTGTATAATCTCAAAACTTACTAATTTTACAGGAGAGTGTTTTAAAGGTTTAACATGTGATATTTTTAATATTAGTCATATTCGCAAAATTTTTTTTTACCAGTTACTTTATTTGTCTTCTAAAGTAAGATAAAATTATATTTTAATTTTGTTAATAGTAGTCAAAACATAGGTAAACTATAAATAAATTATGCTCTTTTGACAGTGTTAATGAAAAAAATACTGGCGATACCAAACGATTCCGCATATTAACTCAATTTCGAATATTGTAGGAAATTGTACACTTTTAATGCGAAAAGACGATATTAGTTTTCATACAAAGTCATATGAATTTCATAAAAGTTGTTTCTTAAGCAACCACAGATGATATCGTTTTCAGTATCTTTAAGAGTCGGTAATGTTGAATTGACTGTTGGAATGACTTATACGAGAAATGAAGCCATGAAACGTTTTTAAAGAAACAATGAACGAAACGCATCAAAAAACTTCAATTTATACGAACGCAAGACGAGGGTAGGCACAGAATACTCTTACACTGCATTAGTAGTAGTGTACACGTGGCCATGGACCACAACCTTATTTATGTACTGGAATAAATTAACAGCTTTTTAACGCGGTTACTGTAAAGTTCGATAGTTTTTTATTACATCACTATAATACTTTAAGGTTTCATTATTATTAAAAATATTATAAGATTTTGTTTTGTGATTATTTGAGATTCCAACACGTGCGCGTAGGCATGTTCGTTGCCAGCTCGCGCCCGCATTGTTCTTGACACATACACACACGTAGTAGTAGTAGTAGTGGTACTAGTAGTAGTAATAGCAGTACTAGTAGCACTAGTAGTAGTAGTACGCTCGCGGCCGCGCTACGAAGGCTACTTTAATTCCTCATCGCAGAAAGCGTTCCGGAATGTTTAGTTTTAAATAAGGACTGGGTTTTAAATGAATTCGATTTGATCTACTAAATTAAACATTGTGATGATATGTAAATACAAACATTTGTAGTTTTCCCTAACAACAATTATATATGTATATTTTTAGCACACAAATATAGATTATATATATGTTTATATTGTGTTATAGTATTTTATATATATTACTGTACGATCGTGTCTCTTGTACAGCCTCTAAGTACATACGATAGAACTACTTAGAACTACAGAACAATTAATATTTATAATAGTTGTAGTAAGAACCGGACACTGAAGCGAACCGAATACCTCATTCTCCGCTGCACATCTCGTAGCTGCCTCACACACGCTCACATTACGTATTCAATTTATATATCTTAATTTACTTCTAGTAAATTCAATCGACTAATAAATTAAATCAATTCATAAAATTTATAAAACATTGATGAAAGTTCTTATAGAACTATTGTATTAGAGGAATGACTGCAGGACTCCTCGGAGTGTGGTGGCGGGGTCGCGGGGCGGGCCGGGGGGCAGCGAGTGGAGGCCCCCTTAATGCCTTAATATCATTTGGCAGTACAGGAAGCTGTCCAACACTGAAATATTAACGGAATAGTGGTTTTGAGGGTGACTTTCTTACACATGTAGCTGTTCAAATTATATTAGAATACCATGAAATTACATGACGAGGGCTATTCTTTTTATTGTTATTTTTATTTATTGGACGGACTCACAGCCCACCTACCTAGTGTTAAGTGGTTACTGGAAACCATAGAGATCAACAACAAAAAGCTGTCACCCACCCTTAGACATGAGGTCCAAAACTGAGTTTTTACAGTACAACGGCTGCCCCACCCTTCAAACCGAAACGCATTACTGCTTTTATTTATTTATTACTTAGATGGGTGGACGAGCTCACAGCCCACCTGGTGTTAAGTGGTTACTGGAGCCCATAGACATCTACAATGTAAAAACGGTTACCCCACCCTTCAAACCGAAACGCATTACTGCTTCACGGCAGAAATAGGCAAGGTGGTGGTACCTACCCGTGCGGACTCACAAGAGGTCCTACCACCAGTGTCTAATTGTGTAATTATAATTTTTGCGGGTTTGATTTTTATTATATAATGTTGTGGAAGTCAATCATGCCTCAATTAAGTCAATCAGCCTACAGAACCCTAGATCTACTTTGCCTTTTTTAAGCAAAAAATTTATGATAAAATTTATTTAAATCTCATTAACTCCGTAATAATCATTATCGACAACATCGCTTTCGTGAAGTATTCCTTTACTCCTGATACGATATAGATTTCGATTATGATACCATTATCGATACGATATGAATATCGATTATAATAGAGCCTGTCATCAAGCACATGCTGCCGGGCAGAGATGCCGCGGCACTGCTGTATGTCGACACACTGCTAAAATATATCATTTAAATTCATTAGAACGTAAACATTTTCAAAATTGATGACCCTCAGCACGTTGGTCTTCTGTAGGGTAGAGGTGGACTCACGGTACTGCGCGGCGCTGATGAGCAGCTCGTAGGTCTGCACGGGCCCGCGGCCGCGCAGCACCACCTCGCACACGAACACGTACACCACGCGGCTGATCTCGAACATGGAGTCCAGCAGCAGCCACGTGGTGACGTTCCGCCCGGTGTTGTGCGCCGACGGTCGGTTCATGACCACGCAGCTGTTCAGGAACCCTATGCCGCTCGTTAATATCATCAGGCCTGATATCACGTAGTGTATTGCTGGAAATAGAGGATTCATTATAATATATTATAAAACATTTTTCGGACTAACGACTGGGATTATTATTTCTGCAAAAGCACAGCTGCTATTTAAATGCAGTTGTGACTTCGAGAACTCAAAGTAAAGAGAACCTTTGCGTATTCCAGTGACTTCAGTCACCAGGATTGCTGCGAACTTGTCAGCCTCATCACTTAGATTTGATTGATTGCCAGATACATCTCGCAAGTGCAATTGGGGAATGGTGCATGAAAAGAGAAACTGTAGTTGAGACTGAAAATTTCTAATAAAAGTTGATATGAAGTTAATATTTTATACATTTAGAGATTTTTAGAGATTTTGTCCCCATTTCTTCTGCTTTTATTTAGTTTACTTAAAAACCTGGTCACTGCATGGCTGAAAACATGGAAAATGAATTGCCTATCAACAACCTTTGCATATAGCTTTACATAGTTGCTATGAACACACAACACAGTATGTTACAAAGTTTAATTTAACTTATCTTAGACATTTTCTCTCTTACCTAAGTTTCGGTTCTCCATCAGTTCTAAGTAGTACAAGTCTGGATTGAGAAGGCGCAGTAGAGCCATCACGAATGCTGTAGCTGATGAGATCTGAAATTTGAAATGTTCATCAGCATCCGTGGACATAGGGTCTGTGAGTACATAGAAACCCAAAGCAATTTATGGTCTCAAGTCAGAACAGAAGATATGTCCATTACCTGGTCAAAATTTTTGTTTAACATGTTAAAAGATACAATGTCCAAAGCAATATTAACTAAAAGATAAATACATAGAGGGGAATTTCAATTTGTTCTGTACAATCTTCTAATCATTTGTCATAACTATGTTATGTAAATATGTTTAAATCACAAGGCACATAAGTCATCATGTTTATATTTACTTTAAATCCTCATTATGTTCTCATAATTATTTGTAATGATAACAATTTTAAATACAAGTTCACATAATATGATTTTGTTTACAATGTACAGGACCAAACGTTATTTATAAAGAACTATGTTTTATTTCAATCGAATCAAGCAATAGGTTGCACACTAGGCAATAATCATGTAGATTGGAACTGCTTTTCCAAATACTGATGTATATGAACGACGGCAATACTATGTATCAAGTTTGTTTTTTATGACTGCAATAAAAAACACCCCTTTGGATGTAAGCTGCTTCTGGTCCAAATTTATAATTGATAACTTTGTTTACATGTTTTGTAGAACACATGGCCACTGGGGCCAAAGGGCTTTAGTGGATAACGCGCACTGGATCTATGCAAATAGCATTGTACTATGCAACGGTAGTTGATAATCCTTCTATAGTCTGAACTGAGGACCAGATGAAGGTTGTGAGAATCCACTGGATACAGGCAGTCATTGACGCAAATCTTGGAGAATAGCTCTCCGCCTATACAGCAGTGCAAGCAAGCAGTGGGGTATCTATAGGCTTAAGATGAATGATACATTTAAGTATTATATTGAGGTGATATAATCCTTTTATTTTGTATTTGTCTCATTAATGTTGTTCTGTTTGTTAGCTTTGTATATTTAATAGGATTTAGACCCACTGAAATCATCAAAGTCCGAAAAGAGATTACACCCGTCATTGTTCAAAATGTCAGGAAAGAAAGAGCCTATAAACTATATGAAATGGAAATGCCCAAAGTAAAAAATACAATTCATATAGGTACCTATTCATTAGGAACGATTTCCAGCATCATTACCTTATTTTTGCACAAATTTAGACGGAATACCAGTTTACAGAAATTGTATTCGGAGGATAGTATCAATCTTTATCATTACCAAACCGTTCTATTCACGAAAATATTTAATATTTTATATACGATAATTACGAGCTATAACACGATTCAAATATTAGAAAAATGGCTTGTGTTATTTTCGTTTATTACTCAGACCCATTTCAACTAATAACTTTAGTATACAGTTTTATTTACATTACATTTATGAAGATGACGAAAAATAAATAAAATTTTAACTTACAGAGAACACAGCAGCAACTATTTTTATGTAAACCTTTAAATCTAATGTCGGCATTGTTTTAGACTGGGTGGACATTGAGGTGCTCCTAGTGAAGAAATTACGAGTGACGAAAATATATATTTTCCTTTATTTTGATATATTTAATTTTTGCGGGTAAAATCAATACACAACATGAACGACAGCAACCACAGATAATACACTTTTTTTAAAGGATTTCATAACCTGGTAACTAAGACCTTTAAGTCATGTCTTATTTTAATTTATATTCTTATTTTTATGAAAAATGATAATATGAAGTGAAATCAAATGAAATGAAGATGATTAATTTGAGACATTAATCAACTGGGATAAAATTAAATGAAATGAGATGAGATGATATGGGATGAAATATAATCTCAGTAAAGTGGTGGTAATTTACTGAGATTTGTTCAGTGGACTTTTTGGAGGATCCCGAAAAGTTACGTCCAACGGCTTTGTTTCATTTTCCCACATTTGTGCACTTTCACAGATATTAAACAGTTAATAAACCACCGTTATTACACATTTAAACCTGAAGAAACACTAAATAGGCAAAATAAAACAAATCACACAACTTCACTCCTCGCGTTCCCGCCAAAAAGTCCCCGATAATACACTCAATATATACCACAGGCAACGCAATCATTTTTTTATTTTAATTCGACGATACGACGTGCAAAGGGTCTACAGCCTATAGTCTGCATATTTTGTAGCAAATGACAAAGCCATGTTTATTGTATAAAAAGTGAGAGGACATGAAAAAAAAAATACTTGAAAGTGGAATTAAATAAGATGAGGTAAGATAATATCTAGGCGGAACTGAAAATTTCGGAAATTAACGAAGTGACACAACATTACTATTTAAAAATGTATTTATTGCTTTTCGAAGTATTCTCCGCGAAATTTGACACATTTTTCCATACGATGGAACCAATCATTGAAGCAACCATTCCATTCGGAAGTTGGGGTCTCCAAAATGGCCGTTTTGTAGGCGTCCACAGCTTCTTCAGGTGATGAAAATCTCTGTCCACGCAATTTATTCTTTATTTTAGGGAAAGTATAGAAATCATTAGGGCTTAGGTCGGGGCTGTACGGCGGATGGTCTAATAATTCTATGTTTTCTTGCTCTAAAAACTCTTATGTTCTGTGGGCGGTGTGAGAACTCGCATTGTCGTGATGGAGGATGATGCGGCGGTTGCAGTTCTCTTTACGGAGTTCAGAAACGACCTGTGGCAAACAAATGCTAGCATACCATTCTGCATTAACCGTTCTTTGTCCCTCAAGAGGAATAGTCGTAACATGGCCGGTTTTGGAGACAAACGTGGCCACCATTTTTTTTGCAACACTCCGTGAACGAACAATTTTTGTTGGCTTTAACTCATTTTCGAACACCCAAACTCGTGACTGGTTTTTTGTTTCGGGTTCGTACGCGTATATCCAGGATTCGTCACCTGATACAATGTTGTATACAGCATTTGAGGATCCTGCGTGGAATCTTTCGAGAGTTCTGACGCACCAAGTAACGCGAGCCGCTTTTTGCTCTTCACAGAGCGAATGCGGTATCCATCGGGAAAACAACTTTTTTACACCTAATTGTTCATGCAAGATTATTTGTATTTGACTCATGCCAATGTCTAAAGTTGCCTGAATTTCGCGGTATGTCACATGTCGATCTTCCTCAATCAGCTTACGCACAGCATCAACGTTTTCTTGGGTGACTGCAGTTATTGGACGACCTTGACGGGGATCATCACTGAGCTTGACACGTCCACGTTGAAACTCAGCAAACCAGCGATAAATTGTGGTTTTGGATGTGGCTTCATCACCAAATGCAGAAATCATCCGGTCAACACTCTGTTTTTGTGTTAAACCACTTCGAAAGTCATAATAAATCATCGCTCTTGAATTTTCTCGAGTCAATTCCATTTTCTCAACGACTAAACAAGTTTAACAAAACCTCGTGACAAGACCGAGAATCTTTTTTTAAATAAATAAATGGTATTCGATTTTTAAAACCAAGGAGTTTTCAATTAAAAACATTTTAATATGACAGGAACAGTGGAAATATTCCATTCCCGATACTTTTAGTGCAGCCCTCGTACTGTACGTGTTTGATGAGATCTATTGAAGCAACCTATCAGTAAATGGTGAAAATTTACTGAGAGTTCAATGGACGTTAGTCTTGTTCGGCTACTTTGGTCCCTTGTTAAGTTACGCTGACATAGTCTCTCATAGCTTATGTAGGAAAACAAAAGGCTAGTTTGTGTTATTTTCTCAATCTTAGTACTTTGAAATATATTAAATATTTAATAAGCCATTAATAAGTTACATTTATACTTGAAGAAACAGTAAATTAATTAATTATTTTATTCATTACCGCTTTACAAAACATAAACTTGTTAAGGTTTTTAAAATGCAAAACAGAAAAATGTCTATAATCGCGCTTCCTTCATTAGCGTTTTCACTATTCGCGGATTAAAAAAATGCGACCTAATTCCTGCGTTTGCGGTTAAAGATTTCTTTATTCGCGGATCTAATCAATACATCGTTACATACACATAGATAAAAAGGATCCCAATATGTAGATATCCAACCGAACGTCCTTTGTAAACACGCTTTTCCCTATTGACAGCATATTTTTGGAACACATAGGTAGGTACCTCGCGAATTTTAATCGCGAATTTTTACTGTACATCCCATAGATCTATCAGTTATCTATTCATTAGAGAGAATTTTCAGGGCTCTGACGGTTTGTCTAAACGTATTCTGTTTGAAAATAACAGATTACAGTTGATGAGTTTCACTAATTAGTTACTTTACTTTTGTGTTTATTGTGACAAAATGTTTATCCCTTTTACGTTTGCTAGTAAGTATTATTACTAATTGTCATTCCCGATCCTGCGGACAGAATGGAAAGCAGTCGACGTCGCCCAAAACACGTCATCTCGGATCCTCCCGATTCACTAACGGTGCTTCTAGGTACTTCAAGCACCGGTCACCGTCCTCGTCGAACCCGTAAATTAACTCTCAGACACAGCCCACCGAGTTTCTCGCCGAATCTTCTCAATGGGTCGCGTTTCCGATCCGGTGGTAGATTCTGCGAAGCACGGCTCTTGCTAGGGTTCGTGTTAGCATCGTCGTCAGGTTTGAGCCCCGTGAGCTCACCTACTAGTTACGGTTACGCTGGAATAGCCGCTCCAGGCTTCCAGCTTAGGTAGGAAAAAAAATACTATTTGTTGTAAGCTTTCGCGTCCATCATAATCGACCGACATTACACCACACTATTAATTGACGGGCTTACCATGATTTTAACTGTTTTTTATTTTTTTATTGCTTAGGTGGGTAGACGAGCTCACAGCCAATCAGGTGTTAAGTGGTTACCGGAGCCCGTAGACATCTACAATGTAAATGTTAGGTGGCGACCTAACTGTCACATCCATAAAATACAGTAATACAGTAGTAGTCATGCTTTTTTATATGATTGAGGTATTACTGGTGGCTCGGAGGCCTTTTCAGTTTCAGCAGGACAGGAGTGATGTTTTCGTTATGTCTTTATCCTCTGGTAACTGTTTAGCACAAGGTAAGCGAGTTCGTTTGCCTATCTAGAGTAGTAAAGAAAAACAAAACGTACTAGAAGATTCAGGCTACGTTTAAATTTCAAGAAATTTCATTAATATTATTAAACTTCACGTATACTTTTATAAACTGTAACGGTAGTTACATAGGCTAAAAATGTTACACGATTCTATTTTTAAATTTTTGTGTTTTTAATCGGATTGTGTCAGGATTACAATAATTTATTATGGCTGTCAACAAACATTACAAACGCAGAACATTTATTTCCTCTGTTGGCGCGCAATTAAAAGCCATTAAAAGTGATTTTTACGCTCATCAAAAATCCCGACGGCTGTGACATTTGCATGAAGTCGTAATTAAAACTTTTCATTTGATTTGTATTTGTGCATGCGCGTGATGTTTAAAATCATTTTTTGAACAGTTGCTATGAAATTATGATTCGACATGATCAAAATATTCATAAATATCATTGTAATATGTACATAACAGTATTTATATTTCATAAAATAAAATAGTACGGACAGTACGATTTAATCAAATATTGTTCTAATAAATACGATAGTTGTCAGAGAACTATCGTAGTTATTTAAGTTTTGAAAATTTGGAAAGTGATTGAAGTTATTTGGTTTTCTTACAAGCCAGTTAATAGTTTTTCAGGGCGTTAGAAAAACTATGTTTGCGACTGTTGCCTGCTTAACTGCTACTCCTTCATATTACGTATCCTGTTATCTTCCTTTGTAATCGTACGTACCTAGTTCAGCTAATCCCTTGACTTCAATGCTGTGAACTGCTTCCAGGACGTGTTGAGAGCCGGCAGGTAGATACTATAGTCTTGTATGTTCATGCTTGCGAAGAAAACGACATTCGCCAGTTTGAAGGATATTATGTATAGTTGATATTAATGATTTTATGTATGTATGCATTTTATGTATGTAAATGGGCAAATCAAGCGCTGCTCTGGGTTCCAGTAGCCCCCCACAACAGCGTCTGAGCAGTGAGTTCGTCGGTCAACTATACAAAAAAATAATCTTTTCACGATTATTACAAAACATAAGCTCATAATTTTTTTCTTTATATGGAAATGTTTACCAAAGTCCTGTTGGTAGAGAAAAACAAAACCATGAATAAAAACTCTTTGAAATTGGAGCAGCAATTGGCAGTACGGAGGCGCAGAGATGGGGCGCGATTCATTAGGAGCCATTCATCGCGCGACTCCTCGATTTATATCTAACGATTCCCGATTCATTTTGATTAGATTTACGAATTGTTGCTCGTTGTAAATTTTATTAAATTATCATTTACATATTTCGGTTTATTGTCATTTGATTTATTATTTGGTTGCATCTGGTATGTTTATGGTCCGGTTTATCGATTTGTGCATGTTGCGGTTTCGGTCAAGGTTTTTTTTAAAGATAAGGACAACTACTGAAAGTAAATAACGTTCTTCAGGTTATTGTCTATTTATTTATTTAATTGTAAAATATATTATCAAGTATCTAGTTATGAAAATAATAGAGTTAAAATAGAATAGAGATAAAAATAGAGAAGAAAGGTCCTATCTCTCTTTTC